TCCATGATTCTATAAAAATAAAGCTGCCCCCCACCATACCCTACAGAAAGAGATCAGTCCTTCCTCCCCTTTTACAGTCCTAGAACATTCACCATATCTTAAATATGTGGATGCAAGATCATAAACACTTGCAAAGAACACGAGACAGGGAGCTGAAATACTATTTAAATGAAACATTCCTTAATCCCAAACACTCCCCAACAGACTCACCTTCCAGATGCAATAATTAACCCACAACCTGATATTTCTTTACTCTGCACTATTCCACCCACAGCAGCTATCCACGTATTAGAAAATAAATTAGTAACCACATCTGACAACTCAGACCAGCTACAGCCCCTCAGCCCCCAAGATCACTTACCTTGCCTCTGCTCTCGTGACTGTGTATTCAAACCACAGGATGTTAGGAATGAGGCTGGTATCTCGGATTAAAAAGAACTCTGAAATTGGCCTGGAAACAGACAAGGTGGTGGAAAGGGAGAAATAATTAAGACTTTTTCTCCACCACAACTTTTATCAGAATTATAAAAATAAAAGCACAAAAACTGCTCCAGACTTAGCACTATTCTTCTATTACTCTTCAGTCCAGGAAAGCAGTTCCTTGTTAAATTTAATTCAAAAAACCCTCTAGTTGTTGATTTGGTTTTTGTTGGGTTGGTTGTTTTTTTTCTTCCCTTATACAATGTTTCCAGACTATATTATATTTAAATGGCTTTGCAGTTTCACTGGGTCATCAGACACCCATCAAGACAGGTCTGTTCTGCTTGAAAAGCTTCCCCAGTGCTCTGCCACACCTCACAACTTTAGCAGGGCTTTATAAACATGACAGTTGCTCAAACTTCCTCTCTCCCATACCAGACAGGGATATATGAACCTTTGCATATGCATGCACAAGAAAACACGGAAGAACAAGTACATTACACAACAGTCAGTATGCAAAACTGGAACAGAACCCAGGAATTCCCATTTCTAACACTGGTAACTTGGTGGTTCACAGAAATTTGAGCAGCCTATTTACAGTCAGGGCTTACACAGCTACTACTAAAATTTAGAGGCTTCAGTATCTTTACATTTGTTTTGCTTCAGATGCAAAGTATAATTTTCACACCGATTGATGAGGAAAACTTTCTTTTGCCAGGTAATTCAACTACACCTGTGTTACCAGCTCATTGTAAGGGACTCAATGAGCAAAACAGCATTCCACATAATACAGACTTGCAGGAATCAAACCTCCACAGAATAAGGAGACTTACCATGCAGCTATCCTCGGGAAGAGAGGAGTTAATATCTCTTGTGTGAAGGCAAACCAGGCTATGGCCATAATGCTTCCTGCCACACCTCCATATAAGACTTGGCTCCAGGTGTGGTAAAGCAAATAAACCCTGCAGTGGAAGAGAAGAGTCACCAGACAGGATTTAAAACAAGAGGAGGCACGGCTCAAGGGCTGATGTTTCACTGGACCCTCAGACACTCTGAGCAAGCTACCCTCCAGGTACTGGATATCTTGCTTTTTTCATTAAAAAGCTGGCAAAAAAAACAAGGAAAAAACTGTCTTCCTCATACAGCAGTTTCAGCTTAGAGCACTTCTAGTTTGAGCTTAACTCAATAACCCTCCACATTCTTCATCTATCTTTGGATTAGCTGAGGAACTATTACTGTTGGTTCCCACGAGAGACTTTTCCAAAGCCAGTAACAGGGTAAGTCCCCTCCAAGCCACCAAAGCTGGGGCTTAAAGGCTTTTAAGAACATAGACAGCCTTTTTGTTAAGATTTTACTGCTCTCAAATGTGACAGCCTGAAGGCTGCACTACCACAACGTGTCACTGTGCCTGCAGCCATTCAGAGGCTGTATTCATGGTCTGTAAAAAGTTATCTGTGCACTCAAGTTACACGAGTCACGTTCAAAATTATTTTCACCCGTATATCATAAAGCCATTAAGATCAACTTATCTGACCCTCTGCTTAGCACAGGCCACTGGATTTCCTCAAATTAATTTTTATTTTAATTAGACCTTTTGTCTCTTATGAAATTTTTCTGTCAGAGTTTTTAAAATAACCAGTCCTAAGGAATTAGCTCTGGTGTACAGTCAGCTGTGCCACAGGTAATTACTTTCCTATGGAAAACATGGCCTTATTTCCAGCTTGAATTTGTCTGGTTTCCAGTCACTGGAGCTCCTTTTATACATATATGAATATGACACACACTTTTTTATTTTTTAAATCTACTAAAGGGAAAAAAAAAAAATCATTATCATTATTATTAACTTTCATTTTCTTTATTCATCTTAATACAACTAAATCTTGCAAGTCAAACAGCTGTGAATGTTTTTATTGACTAATGCTCAAGCAAACCAATCAGACTGATCAAGTGTAGCAATCCACATGCTGCAGACGCTGGCGTGCCCAGGCATGGTGCGATGCTTTCAGGATTAGTGCTGGAAAGAGGGTGAGGCAGCGAGGCTGGAGCCTGGCAACAGAGCCCATGGGGAACTGGGACAAGCTCAGCTGATCCTGGGTTTTATAAACGCTTCTGTGAAGCACCACACATGTAGGACTTTTGCTTATTTGAAGGGTCTCATGGCAACACAGCAACTTCCACAAAGCTCTGACTTGTACAATGCAATCATGGAGGATGAGATCAGAAATGCAGGGTAAGGAACGACAGGTCTGCTGGCTGTGAAAGGCCACGGGACTGGATGAGAGCATAAGACAAACAATGGCTCCATACCTACTATATGAGACTAGCAAAGCCACTGTGACGAGGCAGATGGACAGCACATGTCGCCATAGTAAATCCAGAAACCTCGCATTGTTTGTTTGGTGCATTCTGAAAGAGATGGAGAGCCATTAGCACAGTGGCAGGGGGCCGAGCAGTCCTCATCTCTCTTCTCACTACCTCTGAAACCCTAAGAAAGCTCTACTCCAGTGGGGTCACGGGCAGCTCGAAACCATCCCAGCAGCAACCTGTCCCACTGGCAGCAATTAGAGAAGCCAGAAAGCCACACTTCTCTCTTTCTCTCCAACTGTTAACAGGGATTGCTGTGATGGAAGGCAGAACGCTCACAATTACTGCAACCGATGTGAAAGGCACATGCTGAGCGTATGCAGCAGGGAGCCAAGACATCAGAGTCCCTCCATCACCCACGAATCTAGGAGGAACTGTGAGGTTTGTCTTCCTCCACACGTGGAGCCACAAGACAGAGCCATGCCCCAGCAAGGATTTCAGAAAAGCACAGCACAGCATGTAAAACCAGTACTTGGGGAGGGAGATGGACTAAAAGGTCATGCAAGTGGGCGACAGGTATGATCTAAAAGATTGCAGACAATCCCACTGACAAAACTGAGTAGACACATGAGAAAGCAGCTCTTCTTTCCTCCTCCCTATTCCCCTCCCTCTTCCCTCACACTGGTGAATCATCACAGCTTAGAAAAAGCAAATCAGGACACCTGTACCCAGACAGGCATAGGAGGCCCACCCGTACCCTTCAGTTTTCAGCAATGGTAACTACAGTCCTGCATTCAGATCGAGATAGACATGCTGCATCCACCCTAGCCACAGGAAATTGTGCAGTTCCTCAGATTTAATTCCAGGATGCCACTCAAGTGGCACACAGCAAGGGAGCCATCTATTTCAGGTGTTTCAACATATTAACAGCCAAAACCTGACATTGAATTTTTACCTTAAATAAAGGAACAGAAAGGAATAGACAGAGAAAAACCACATGAATTGGGAGTGGCTGGACGGCATCCCATATTTTGTGGTCACTGTTGAATGGGCTTCTGGGAAGAGAAGAAGAAAGAGTATGGTCAAGGTCTACTCTGTACGTAGCAGCTGGAACGCTCCAGATGTGAAGCCAGACCACTCTGCTGGAGTATGTGCACATGAGTTCACAGGACACGTCTCTGCTCAGACGGCTCTGCCAGCCTTCTCACACCCAAACATCCAAAGCCAACATGAGGCAAAGGGGAAAATACCCTCTAACCCCCCCACATTTAGCATTCCACTCAAAACTGAACCAACACCGTGACACCAATGGTCCATACCATACCTTCGCAGGGCCGAGGCTCCCGGATTACATTTTTTATTAACCAGTTCACTCCCTCGTTGAATGCCAGCCCTCCCAAGAAAGAGATCTGTGAAGGCAAGACAACTGCGTCATCCTATCTAAAACATCCAGCCACTCACCAGGCTCTCTCTGCTGACAGAGCCACAAACCATCTGTTTCTCATTTTCTTTTTCTTTTTTTTTGACTACTAGAGTTAAAACCAATGGCTTCAAAATTCTCTACCTGGGGAAGAAAAGCATTTCTTTTTTTCAGCTCATTTTGGGTATTTGACAACACATTGTGTATATGCAGCTTTTCAGCAGATACATGGAAAGAGGCAAAAATGACACTGTACAGCGATTCTGGCAGCATATTTCCACCATCAAGGGTAGAAAGTGACATTTTTTAACAGGGCAGGTTTTAAGGGATTGTCTTTCCCTGACAGCCAACAGGGGGAGTGCACACACAGTTATTTGGGTAAATAGCTTAAAAAAACATTGCTTCTTAGGTTTTTCTGGCTTTTCCCTCTATGAATATTTTCATCATGAAGTTGCTGTCTTCAGTTTAAAATGAATTTGCATTCTGAACTGAGACAGACTGGTAGCATTTATTTTTACTCTTTAATTCCATAGTCCATACACCTCTCCTAAATTCATCCTGCTGCTGTGATCTAATTCCCAGCTGGTGATGATTCTCTGCCTCCTTAACGCTCAGTCCCATTCCAGATGATGAAGCAATTTTTCACGCTATGTCCTGAGCTCCGGGTCAGGCTGCTGCAAGTCATCCAGCATCCCTCTCCAGCTCAGTGCTGGCTTCCCACACAAAGAACTGGGAAACAACCTCAACACTTGCTTTGTTACCAGCACCTAACGAGCCCCTGTATTCAAAAAACCTGGGAATCTGTGCAATAGTTCCTCTGGCTTACTCGCTCTTTGGGGTCAACAAGAAACCTTTGGGTTGCCAAAATTTAACAGCTGTCTCTCCTAGCTAACATCAGCTAAATAACCCAAAAGTCCCATTCCCAAGTCCCTTGAGCCACTGGTTCCCATGACACTACGGCCCTATATTGGGAATCTGCTGTCAAAATCCTTTCACTGGCCCCTATTTTATCTGTTTACTGAGGGCAAATGTTACAAGAGGTTTATACCTCCCCTGAAGGGAATTTATCCACGACACTGATTCCCAACTACCTGTCAGAGCAGACAGCAAGTATTATGTATTATAAAAAAGTCCCTTCTTGGTCATTTGGACAGAAGCAAGTCTTTAAGTCTCTTCTGCCCCTGGTATTTGATTCACAGCTGGGAAGCAGCCCCTATAGACACATCCACTCCCTTGGGAACCCGCAGGTTTTATTTTGTATCCCCCTTTCCGCCTCAGTAGTTCAAAGGAAGCCCATCCTACTGAGTTACAGACACCATCTCCTGCATATGCTGCCCATCTTGCAGGAACCTATGAGTGCTATGACGCTACTGGATCCTGGGCGTGTTCCCACTCTGCAACTGCATTCTTTGGTTCCTCAGACATGTCCCTCAATGTTTTTGGATGGATAATGCCCAAAACATACCACAGAGCAACAGAAAAGTCAGCAAAGGCTGAGCAGCTTTTTAACCTGGTAGAGGTGATAAGTGTCTCCTGCTGTTCTTTGACAGGAAGATCACCTTACCTAAGCTTGCTCTTTACAGAGAGAAAAAGAAGTGTGAATAGAGGAGCACCAGGTGACAAAGGAAAAGACTTTTTTCATAAGGAGAAGCTGGGAAGAGAGAGAAGGACTCACCGTGTGAAGCTCTCTCTTGAATATGATGAGTGTTACAAAGCCAACAATAATGAATATTGGACCAAGACTCAAATAAGCTAAAAGCTGACCAGAGAAATCACCTAGGGAAACAAACAAGAGAAACAAATCAGTTTGAATTTCACAGGTACTTGCCTGCCACCAGAGCGTGGGTCAGCTGGTGCCCTGAATTGCTAAGAGCAGAGGGGACTTGCAGCAAGTCTCCATTCTGCAGACCGACTGCTGCTGCTCCAGCCTGAGAAGAGCCAAGGCAAGGGAGACAGCAGTGTCCAGGTTCAAAAGCAGGGATGAGAGGAGCTTGGCATCGTTCAGCAGATATTACTGCCGGCCAATTTACAACAATGACCACGGGTGTGGGCCCAGAGTCACTTTAATCCAACATAAGCACAGGCTGCTGCAGAAGAGGCAGCATCTTTCCCTCCCCCTCATTCCCATTGCCTCCCTATGCCAGCAATTACCAGCAAACACTCCCCAAACAAATCCTTTCCCACTCCTTTAATAAAATGGGTTGGTTTTCAGCTAGATCAGCTCCCTAATCTGTCTCACCAGGTGTCTGCATGAATACTAGCATTAGAAAAATGAGGAGGAAATAAATAGCGAAACATAGCAGGAGATAAAGGAGAAAAATAAATACATAAGGAGACTCTGCTTTCTAACCAGGAGCCCACTTGCATCACACAGAAGTGACTTTGGGCCTCCACCCCAAATAGCCAAGTCTAGTAATCCCCCAGGGGAAAATGGGGAGCAGCAATGGGACCTCACAAGAGATCATAAGGTACCTGAAAACATTTATCCTGAACTATCACAGACACGGGGGTAGGTAACCAGCAGTAAAGAGCAGCTAAGTATTTTGATCTTGCCTCCGTTCCCTGAAAAAATGACACACACCAAAGTATTTGGAGAGAAGATGTCAGCATAGATTCCAAGGAAACAAAAAAATTAACAGATTAATTTTGCTCCAAGATCAGCAATTCACATCAGGAGAGCAAGAATTATCTACCAGAGAATCTTTAAAGACAACAGTCACTACAAAAATGCAGCACGACCCCAGTGAGCAATTTAAGAGACAGGGTACTTTCTATGTCAGTTCTCAGAGACTAGATCTTCTCCATCCCATCGCTGAACACAGGATCAGCCCTCACATAAATTTCTCCTTCCTCCATCTTCTCCAAAGGAAACAGGATGCCTCTGCAAGGCTGAGCATTGGACTCATTCCTAGATCAATTCCACTGCAAAATCCTGAGTCTCCCCAGCCCACGCACCCACATTTTAAAACAGCACTTGGCAAAAGGGACTTTAACCTCAGCCTCTGAATACTGGAGCTGATTAAAAAAGTTATTACACTGCTACAAAGTTCACCCTGCTGATGTTATTGCCACATAGTTGTGGTTGCATCAGGTACAGTGCACAGATCCCTACTGAATTCCAGACGCCCTGGTTGGATTTGGGAACCAGAACCATCAGCAGCAGGATGACTTGTAGGAATTTTAGTTTGCAACACCAGCGGAAGGAGGAAGAGTTGGAGGACAGAACTCCCAAGAACACTGGGTTTTCACTGAAGTGAGGCTCTCTGTTGGTTTTGACCTGAAAAGCACTAGAAGACACTGAATTTGAACATTTTCTTGCACTATATGGCAGGTTTGCCTTGTGTCAGGTGGGTTCCAAATGCTCCCAAAGCAGAACAGCAACATATTGTGGTCATGCAAAGTGGATGTAAGTGACAGTGCCAGTCACCTGGCAATAGGGAATCGAGCCCCTGATGATAAGGGAAATCATGAGACAAGCCACCAGACAACCAGAACTACCCTGAAAGCCTCAGGAATACTTTCCAATAGTCTCAATTCCAGTGTTACTGACTGAAGATGGCTCATCATCAAAGAATCACCGTGTTGCAGATCATTCACTCTGTTAATCCACGGTACATCAAGGCTTAGCACTGCAAGGCTAAAAGCCATCATTTTGTCAAGTAAGAACAAAACCGGATTATCCACCTTCTCAGGGGGGTTCGACTTCTTGTGCGGATGGTGGAAGAATACTTAAGGAAGCAGCCTCTTACCTTAAACAGCATCAGCAGTACCAAACTCAAGGTGCTCCATGATGTTATATGAGAACATACCCAATAAATCGAGCCACCCAGACAGCACTGGCACACAACCCCCATGTGAACCTGAGGTGGAGAACCAGAAACCATCCCTCCCAGATGCTGCCTGCAGGCAGAGCACCTAGTCCTTTACTATCAACACAAGAGCTCCCCAAACATTTCCACTGTCCATTTAGAACAGAGACAGCATCAGTAACATTCCATATTATTGTGGCTAACAGCAATCAAACAGAATCACATTCTGACGCCGCTTTTTCTAGAGCAGGAGGCAAATAAATAGCTGTGCACTAAGTGAAGGCAGCACGTCTGCTGTGCCCTGGGAGCTACACCAGGAACTGCACTCGCTGCATTGGCAGCTCAAGGCAGAGCTGCACTGACCAAACCAGCTCGGAAATGACTGGAAACCCCCAGTGAAGAAGGCACAGCAAGCTCTGAGAGAAGGGCCAGCGCTGATCACCGCATGGGGCCTCAGAGCGTGATGACTTGTGTCAGTCCCATCTCCACTCGCGCAGAGACGTATTCCCAGGGCAAGGAGACTCACAGGAGAGCCAACAGTCTGAGTGAGCTACAGTCAGATCCAGCAAGCAGGTATCTCCTCACCCTTTTATAAAAATCATGTTTTCCCTTCATTTTACTAACCTTGGGAATTTTAAAGCAACTCCTCCAATCAGTAAGAACAGAGACAAAAAAAATCTCTGGAAAAATAGAAAAGGAAATTCTATTTAATATATAGCTTAAGTTTTGGTTTAAATCCTGCTTTTTTAAAAAAGTTCAACCTTCCCTGGACATCATTTGGAGCTCAAGATGCAAAAACAAAGAACACAGCTCCCTCATTTTCAGGCACCCAAGAGATAAACAGGCAAAACACTATACATAGCTCAGACGCACGCTATTTTTTTTCAGCCTTCATTCAAGCATCTGCTTCTGCTCCAATTCAACATTTTACCCAGCATTCTGTCCGTGGAAATACCCATTTTACCACAGCAGCTTAACCTGTCTTGTCTGTAGCATAAAAATGTGAATCAACAGCACTCTAACCACATCCTACCACAAGACCAAGCTTTACCACCACTGCTTCCTATTGAAGCATCTATTTGTGTCACTGCTGCTGGTCGTGTGTTCGGGACTAGAAGCACCTGTGCAAGTGGCAGAGTGCGTGTGTCACACGCATTTACACCAGTAAATATTCATGATGGATCGTCATTGCCTCTCCTTGCGCATATGCTGGTATCACAAGCTGTGGGACAGTAAAAATATCCTCAGGGGGTTTTAAATTATGGCAGAAAAGGCAAGTATCAGACATGAAACTTCTGCAGGGAGATTAAACAGAAAACCCTGCGTTAAAGGAGACAAACAACTGAGTGGTATCTGCTTCTTTCAACAGATATTAACTAGCTACAAAATGAGCCCTGACTGGCAAGTTACCACCCTGAACAGAAATCCCAGCACGGATTATCAGAGCAAACGTTCCTATAGGAGAAACACGTGCTGATATGGAAGAGCAACGAGAACTGCTGAGCCAATGTACACACGCAGCACAAGCACCTTTGCTCCGATGCACCTTCTGACCAATGGGTTGATTTGCCCCTCCAGCTCTGTCTGATTGCAGTAAACACCCTTCACAACTGAGAAAACAGGAAGATTCTCTGTCATTCCACAGAGAAAAGGTTTGGCACACCAGGTTTCGCTCCTTAAAAAAATCTATCCAACGTGAGAATAGGTCCAGAAAGTCCCAGAGCTTTAAGAATCCCAGCTGCACCGAAGAGAGGAAGTTTTGTTTGTTTGTTTGTTTTTCTTGTCTCTAAATAATAATAAAAAACCCCAAACAAACCAGGAACTCGGTGTTTCTCCAGTGAAACCTCACCCTACAGACAGGAAGTCCCTGAAGATGAGTTTTAAGTCTGCAACAAAGTCATCCCATGCAAAGCAATGCATACGGGAAAAAACAACCCTAATTATACCCACAGCATGACAGGATTTACTTTAGTTGTTATCAAATGAGAAACCCTCAGGCTTAGCGTGAGCCGACACCTTCAGAGTAGTATCCAATGTTCTGCAACAGTCAAAAAGGCAGGAACAACATTTTTAAGAGCAAAACAAGTCACTGTTACAAAAATTTATTGTGTGATTCCAGTGTCACTGTCTAAAAAGCGACAATAAACACAGAAAAGGCAAATAGAAAGGGACAGAGATAACAGAATGAACAGCAGCCACTCAGAAAATAGCAAATAACTCAGATTTCCAGTTGAAAAAGGAAAACAAAGGGTACAACAGTTCTGTAGTCATTAATGATATGGAGAAATGGACAGCAAACACTTGTTACCACTCACTGCACATGAGATGGAGTGTTTGATGGAACTACTCAGCAGTGGACTTAAAAGCAGAAAAGGAACAACCACCACATTCAGTTACAGAGCTCGGTGCCAAAGACACCGGGATCTAAAGTGGAAATGGGTCCAAGCAGCAATTAGGCAGATTCAGAGTACAGCTTCTGTATATCATCAAAGGAATTCACAACCCTGGTGCAATCACCAGCTGACTGCTGGAAAGACCTCCAGAAGAAGGATAATTCCTGCCTACCTGCAGAACCCGACACTACACCAGATCATTCCTTGGTCTCACCGAAGTGCAACTGCTGACATGAAAAGCTCCAGGACCAAACATTTCTGAAAGCAGTATCAGGCCACATTTTTCAAGACTGCCCTCGTCAGCAGCGTGCTTTAACACACTGCCAGGTGACTCTGCCGTTGTTGGTTTCTTCTCCCTGTGTGACATTTGCTATCAGTAATTTTTCAGTTCGGTCCCCAAGACCCCGTTTCTCAGACCAGTTTGCAGTTCACCACCACAATGTTCATCTGCTGTTTCTCACTTGATCTTGCTCAAGGCTGCCATCACAACAAGCCCTGGAGAACGGAGCAGCCACACAAGCAGCGAGGCTGGGTGTTTGGGGTTTTGAACTATTTTGCTATTGATAGGGAAATATTAGGTAAAGACAGGGAGGATGAGCACCTTTCTGGAGACACCTCTCCCCTGGACAGTTACAAGCAGAAACCCAACGATGGGCTTCATCTGTCAGACAGAAACCAGCAGCCATGGCTTTTCACCTGGTCACAGCAAGAGAGACCATCACTCTTGGCAGATGGAAGCTGGGATGACAGCAGCTCTGCACTGGAAGCCTTTAAAGACATGACATTTTAAAAGCTGGTTGCCACAGTGGCTCAGCACGCTGCGCTCCAGGCCAGCAGCCTCTGGGACCAGCCAAGAGCAAAAGATGTTTGCCACACAACAGTGCATGACATGCCAAGACAACTTAATAATTCATATTGGTAAAAGCAGGATCCATTTCTCATTCTGACCCCCGTCCATCAGCACGGGGCTACATCAACTCCGTTGTGCTGAGCACACTGCCAACATCACTATTTTATAAATGTACATTATTTAGCAGCTTTATGGACCTGGACTTCAGCTGCACACAGACAGAACATAAACATCTTTCTAAATAAAGTTAGAGCACTTCCCCCAAATCAAGGTAAAAGTATCAGACCTATCATCTTACTGCAACTCATTTTTCTAGACCAAAATAAACTCAGAAACTTTTGTACCTCCAGCTGTTCTGATGTTTTAGTCCTTTGTCCCCACAATTAAGTTAAGTTTGGTTATCCAAATTGTTTGGTTATCCAAAACAAACACAGTGTTCATCCTCTGGATACATAACCCTAATCCTGGCGGTGATTTAGCCCCTCCACACAATCACCACCTCCATTTGCCTGTATAAAAGCACTCAATGCAGAGAGAAAATGATCACGTCATGTCACATTCTTTAAGATCTGACAGATAACCCTTGTGCAGCAATTTCAACCACCCCCATTTCCCAAACCAACCCAACAAACAGTGCACAGGACACTCGGTGTACGCTGCCAGGTTCAGGTAAGGAGATAAGATACAAAGATGAATCTATCAGTGCTACTGGAAAGGTTATTTCCCCATCAGCCCCTAACCATCAAATCAATGTATCTGAGAAGGGGGATGGCAGAAGAACATACAGGGTGATGGAAAATGCAAGACAGAAAAGGAAACAAAGATACATAAAGTATCACAGAAAACAGCCATACTGTGGTGAGGGCAAGAAATGATGTATTTCCAGCACCAGGTCTTTTCAGTATTGCCCACATTTCAAGTTTTCTGGTTAAATGGGAACTTTCAACCCAGAAGATCCTTAAGCACTTTAGAAGCTTTAGGCATTGCACTGTTGAGAGGAGCTTTCTTCAGGAACTAAAATCCAGCTATTGAAATAGGACATATGGCAACACTTCATGACAAGTTAGGGACTTGGTAGGAGAACCAGCAATATAGAGAACAGCGTGAACCCCAAATCTGTATTTTGAGCAGACTGTCAATACTGACACTTTGACACTTTACACTCTGCTTTTTCTATTATCTTTGATTACAACAAGGAGCTGATAGTTCTTCTGTCTCACCCAAAACCAGCACAAAGCACCTGAAGAGGAGCTTCTAAAGACACTGCTCAGACAGCCACTATCCGAACACAGACGTGTTTGCTCTCACACACTGGTAGATCAGGGATTCACCTGATTCCTACCACAACATGGGTCAGGCTGCTGGCACATAGTGCCACAAGGAGGTTGTAGGGAGGCTGGTGCGTGTTTCTCCCAGGTAACTAGTGATAGAACAAGAGACAATGGCCTTAAGTTACACCAAGGGAGGTACAGATTGGATATCAGGAAATATTTCTTCACTTGAAGGGTTATCAGATGCTGGAATGGGCTGCCTGGAGGAGTGGTTCAGGCACCGTCCCTGGAGGTATTTAAAAGATGGGCAGACAAGGTGCTCAGAGATACGGTTTAGTAGTGGACAGGTACAGTTGGAGCAA